CACATGCATAACCCTAACCCTAACCTAACCCTTAACCTTACCCTAATCCTAAACCTAACCAAGTCTTCACCCTAAAATTAATGATTCCCCTTATGGGGACCTCCATTTTGTCCCCATAAGGGAGGCAAGTCCCCACACGTGACTGTGTAAACAGATTTAGGTCCCCACAAGTATAGTAATGCTAGGACACACACACACACACACACACACACACACACACACACACACACTATATAAATACACAATATGGATTACAGTATATCACAATATAGCAATGACTTAATTTTACAGGACTGTCTCCTGTTTTTAAATGAATTAACATGATACACTTGGAACACTTACAAAATAGATACTTGAATAAAATGTCTACTCAATTCCATATCTTAATTTAGCTCAGTTTAAGGTTTTGGTATCAGAATTCGTAGCACAGAGTTTATATTGGGTTATGGTCACACTTCAGGGATTTGTGTTGGAATCAAGACTCATCCTGCTCCAGAGCTTGGAACAGCCCGAGCTCCAGACGTAGCCGATGTCCGCGTTGTGTTGATCAGAATCACAATTCCTTTATACGTCTCGCAGAGGGAACATTTACATTGTTACAGCAGTATAGATAGAGATGAAATATACAAATAACACACTATTAGATGCTAACCCTAACCCACATAATATTTAAATAATAAATACAAATGTACAGAATTACACATTAAGGTTAAGTGAGCTTATTACTAAAACAACCAACATGATCCAAACTCATATCAAATCACCAAAACATGATTTATTTGACTCTATAGTTACTACTATACACTATGCACCCAATTCAATTCTGATTCTGATTCAGGCATTTATTATTGGATGCTTCCTTGAATTATTATTATTATTATTATTATTATTATTATTATTATTATTATTATTATTATACCTATATGAGTATGATGGTGCATACAGATAGAGAGAGGGATGGGGAGGTGGATGTGCTCCCATGTGTTAGGAGAGTTCAAGTTACTACTGGGAGGCATTTTGGAATGGAGCTGAGCGCAGACTGTGGCTAACAGCTTTAACACCAGCAGCACCATGTGTGGTCCCTGTGGAATCCTGAGAGTGTGTGTGTACCAGAGAAATGGATCGCATGTGTGTTTTAACCTGTACCTGTGTATTTAATTGAAGGATGTAAGGTAACAAGTGTGTCAGTGGTGTTCGGTTTAGAATTCAAGTCAACATCAGTGCAGTTATGCCGAGGGTCCGTCAGAGCTGTGAATCGCTCCAGAGGCGCATTGCTGCTGTATGGATGTCAGGATTTCAATGGCTACTGTTTTTGGACTAAAATGCATACTGGCAGGTGTAATGTGTGAGTGTGTGTGCGTGTGTGTGTGTGTTTTAACTTCTGACATCTGAGTGTAAATAGTAGCAAGTAAAGTCTTCCAGGTAGGGTTTTTTTTTTTTTTTTTCATAAAATCCTAAAATCAAGTAAATCCACAACGTTATGTTAATAAACGTTGTGGATTTAACGTTGGCCATTCCATTTTTATAATCTGAATAGTGATATAACATGAAGACCAGACATTTTTTTTAGTGGATGTTTTCCTTTTCTGCAAGGAGCTACTGGTTTTGCCCACAAATAACTTGCTTAACACACCACACATTGCATGAGAGCTCGCTTCTTATGCAATGTACACTACTGATATGAAGGAGGTATGAAACATAAGCAATTCATGTTCAAGGCAAGGTTCTCTAATCGCATATCCGGTACAATATGCATTAGTGATGCACAGCTCTGCCCTCATACAGCAATTACTGAACACTCCATACGTCAGGTTAGCACTGTTAGCTGCTAGCATTCAGCTCAGTTGTCTCCATGGTGACGGTGCTGTGAATGAAATCCCTGATTCATAGATCAGCTCTGGAATCCATATCCAGAACCTTTAAGCCCTCCCTGCTGTAAATACCACCTCATCACAAACCCTGTGTCCAAAACTTAGAACATGTGCTTTTCGTTATAAATTGTTAGTCTCCAAACGCAAGCTGAGATCCACCTTATGACCTCACTGACATCACCAAGGTTATTTCTCTCCTGACAAAGATCAATTAGAACAATAGAAAACCTTCTACAACTCACAAGTGGAGGAGAACCCCTTTTTACAGAGATCCACTCAATTTGATCTGTGCTGCAGCAAAACTGGCGCCTGTGTGGGTGATTCTGCGGTAGGCGGAGAGTGAAGAATACATAAAATTGTGGGGCATAATTCTGTGCTCATCGCTCATATACAAGCAATTGGTTATATGCTTTTTAGAGAGCCTGAATGGCTGCCTTTGTTGGATACCAATTTATCATGTGCCCGATTCTAGCATGAGAAGAAATGTGCTGCTTTTCCAGGGGACCCTCCGGAGTGCAGAGCTGCACAGCTGGCCTGTATAAGCTGCCCGAGACACTGACTGATTAACTTACTGCAGGTGCACCGCCTGCCTGCTCCCACTCAGCAGCAGTTGCTCTTCATCTCCATTTTGTTACAGAGCCTCTTGAAGGTGTTAACCACTGAGTTTGAGATGATCTTTTCAAGAGCACATTGTCTGTAATGAGTGTGTAATGCGATAAGTGGGAATGTCAAAGCTGTTTGGTGCAGTTGTATAGTTTAAACATGTTTTTCCATCTGTGTGAGAAAGTGTGAATATATGACAGCCACCCATATCCTCTCCCTTGATTGCCAAATCATACTCTTCCTAGGAACTGGATAGATCCAGCCTATAAATACTCTATCATCGTCCCACGGTCCCAACTTGTTCCTGACTTGAACTTTGCAAACCACTGCATGTGCACCTCAAAGGTTTATAGACTCTCTTAGTGGTAGACTTGGATCCGAGGACTCCCATATGGAAACTGTTACACAGTTGCAAGAAACAGATTTGCTTTCAGCTCCCCTTTATGTGTGGAGAAAAGAGGGAATGGAGACAGAGGTCAATCACATGTTTTCCTGTGAACAGAGAAACCGAATGGCGTGGTGTACACCTATTCCTGAAGGCTTCATGGTGCGGTGTGTATGAGGAGGGGAGTAGTTTAGTAAATGGAGGCACTGAACCTGCACAAGTCAAGAGAAGCCTTTGTGTGGTCTCTTTCCGACACCTTACATCTGGATTACACACAAATATAAGCACAAAATAACACACATGCTCCTTCTGAGAACATACCCATAGTCCTTCTTACAGATCTGGTCCAATATTGAACTAATTAACTGCTGATTTCCCCCAAAAATAAAAAGTTCCCTTTGCAGTTTTATTTTACACTGGCATGTGTATAATGGCGCTTTTCCACTGCAGGGCCTAGCACGGCTTAGTACGGTATGGTTAGGCCTTGGTAGGCCAGGCTCACTTTATGCTGCGTTTCCATTACAGTTTAGGAACTGCGGTAGTAACTATAATAACGCAGTTCGGCGGGCGGAGCGACGCTGCGTAAAACTGCCGTGACGTGTTGGGTTCAGAATTCCAGAAAAGAGAGACAACTTCTAAGTTGAACTATTTATTGTAAAGAGAGCAAAATATATATATTACTTGGCCAAGGACTCATCACGTCTTTGGGAATCGTCTTTGTGTTCTCTCAGTCTCTGCACTCGACCTTGCTACTTTCAATATTGCAAGCTAAACACTTTCTCATGTAACTTTTCCCTTCGTTCCTCACAGCCACATAAAATGAGCACAATAAGCTTATAATGTAATAATAAGTCTTTCTAATGTTATATAAAAATAGACTCTACAGACGTCATCTTCAATGCGAACCACAAAACCATAACATCAGCCGTTAGCTCTTAGCACTCAGAGCTCACAGCTCCTCATATCTGTTCAGAAACTGGACAAAAGTTAAACAAGTACAAACCACAGACTGCCTGTGTCATGGCGAATACAGTCGCTGCTTTATTTATGTCTGTAGGCCGTTGTTGTGAGTGTGGACGGAGCATATAAAACGTTAGCTTAGCCTGATCGATCCGATCTCCATTCAGAAAACACGCATTTAAAAGGCTTTTCGCCTGCCGTCTGCAGACCGGTATCAGTATGTTGTTACTGCGGCATCATGTTGCATTACAATTAAATCACGGTAAAATATGTTCATTTTGTTGTAGTTGTAGCTCCCTTGCCAGCGATTCTCTCTGACCACTCAGCAGTCGAGAGTGTTTACGTCACTAGTTTAGCATATTCAGCCGGTTGTTGGCCCGCTAAGAACCTCAATTTTGGAGGGCCAGAAAAAAGGTGAAAAACTACCACTAGTGGAAAAGAAAAAGAAAAATGCTAAACCGTGCTACGTGCTGCCGTGGAAAAGCACCATAAGTCACTTTGTGGCACACAGTATCCTACCTACTATATACTACCTTTATACTTTTATTAAGTTACCTAGCAAGAGGTGAAGATCTATTGTATTCCTACCTAAAAATAGGCATATGTGCAGGGGTGGACTGGGACAACAATTCAGCCCTGGCATTTTCTGTCCAGACCAGCCCACTACATTATCAGCGGACACTACATAGAAGTCCACTAATCTCGCGGCATCTTCTCTCATGCATACTACAAAGGAGAATCATATTCCTTGATAGCAGTTAACAAATAAAGCACTTAACTATGAACTCAAGGACTACAATTGACAGCTATAGCAATCAATCAATCAATCTTTATTCATTATAGTGTCAAATCACAACAGAAGTTATGTCATGACTAGGGGTGGGAAGAGACTAACGGGAAGAACCCTTATGCTACCCTTTCAGTTTTTAGTCTGTGACTGTGAACATCTTTTGGTGTAAGCCCAGTATTAGTTAAAACCAGACTCAGATAATAATAACAAAAAAATATCCTGACAAATAATCTGAATAGAAACATATTACAGACAGTAGCAGCATTAGAGCTGAAACTCACTCACTCAACGGTGACTCAGTCATTATGAAACCATAAATAGAGAATTGGAAGAAAAAAAATATATATATATATAGCTGTGTGAAAAGTCTAAGACATGGGTTACAGGTCTGAATAGATATGCATTCTCATATACGTGTATGTGCACAAGTATGTATTGCTCTACTTCCTGGTCCGCAGCCAGCCAGCTCCACTCCTCACCAAATTCGTGACCTGCAAGAAACAGCAAACAGAACTTGTACTCAGTATCTGTGTACTGACAAGTATATGTAGCCATGTAGCCTTTTTGTGACGTGGTGACACTTAGTGAACAAATGTATCTGTCATGAAGGATGACTTAAGACTCAAAAGAGCCCTAAGGCCTACCTGCATAACTGTTCATTGAACTTAAAAGATATGCAGATGTTTGAAATTAAAACCATCAATATGAAAATCTTCAGCCAGGAAATAATCATAATCAAACCTTTTGTTTCAATCTGAGACAAAACAAGTTACATAATAAACTCACAGTCAAGACGAAGCTCTCAGATATGATGGATGCCTCAAGCATCATAGAAGAACTTCTAGCAGGTCAGGAAAACCTGTTTGCCAGGAGATAATGGTAGCAGAGAATATAAAGAGACATTTATGATTGACCAATTGTCATTTTATCACACATATAGTATGTTTCTTCACATAAACCTTTAAACATACACATATTGCATTCCTCTCACCACATGAAATAAGCTCAGGAACCCAAAAGTGGCCCAGTGAATGATGGAGGAGACAAAGCAGGTCCTCAAAAGGGGACAGAGGGAAAACAACTCCTTAGGCTCTCATATATAGGGTGGTCAACCTAAAAGAGACATGGAAACATTATTAAGTCTCTCATCATCACAAATCAAGTATGAATTCATATAACATTATAAGACACATGACATACTCAACAAATCATAGACTTCTCAGTAGCCACAAAGTGGTGAAGTGGAGGCAGTAAGGGAGCAAATCCTTGAAAATGGACGGAGGGGGAACAACTCCTCAAGCCCTAACCCTAACCCTCCTCAAATTAAGTATGATTTCATAAAACATAAAAAATGATAAACTCACCATACTACAGGAGACTCAACAGCCAAACTTTGGTGCAGTGAAGGCAGAGAGTGGAGGCAGAGAGAGAGCAAGTCCTCGAACATGGACGGAGGGGGAACAACTCCTCAAGCTCTCACATGTCAAGTGGTCAACCTGAGAGGGAATTGGATACATTATTAAGTCTGAAAAATAAATAAAATGTTTTCCTCTCACCTAGAGTTGAAAACGTTTGGGATGTGCGTTTCTTTCAAAACTTTTTTAAAATTATGAAGTATGAATTTATACAACATTAAAAAATACATGATAAACTTACCAAATTCTAACAGTGGTCCCAAATGAGAGAACAAGTCCACATATAGAACAGAGGGAGAACGACTCCTCAAATATATCAGAACAACCTGTAATGGAGAATAATTGATCATTTAGTGTTCATGATCACACCATTAAGGATCAACACATAAGCACAATAACACTTCTGAAAAGCATCATTCAAATGACAAATAATGAATTACTACATCCATAATGTGTGATGTGTGATAATAACAATAATATGAAATATTTCTGGCCTTATCAGTGGGGCAGCTTTTTAAGCAGCTCACTCTTCTCTGCAAGTCTGTCTATCACAGAGTCCAAGGCCATGAGGATGTCTTTCTCTGTGGCCATCAACATAAATGCCTCCAATTTCTCAGATGAGAGGGTGCTTCTGAGTCTGTTTTTAATAAACTTCAAAATGGAAAATGTGCGCTCACAAGCCACCTGTGTGAGCGATAATGTAAGCAGGTATTTATAAGCAAGGCCTAGGACAGGGTATGCATCTGTTAGCATGTTGAAACGGCGACGTATCTGGTAGCAGCACAGAGGGCATTCTTTGCAGGAGCAACAGCTTATGGGAGTTATCTCAACCTCTTCTGTGTTGTCCTCCTCCTCACCACCTGATCCATCTTCTACTGTTCTTGCTTTGTACTCTGCCAATGGGGATGCCTTCAGCCTGTTCCACTGGAGTGCAAAGCTTTTCAACTCGGCCTGCATATTTTCCTTGGTTGCCCTGCTGTCAAATCCTTGCAAGCACTTGCTTAAGTCTTGAAGGGCAGACTGGGGAAGAGCACTGGTGCAGAGCTGAGGGAAGAGCACTGGGATCCAGACATGCCAAGTCAGCATATAGATTGCCGTGTGTTAAAAAGCGCCTATGAATGGCTTCAATTGCTGTGTCCATGATCCGGTTATGCACATTCACCTCATAGGATGTTTCTGCATCATCCAGGGTCTCATCCTGAGCCATCTCTCCAGGCAAGACTTTCTTCATCCTCCTCCTCTTTTGTGGCAGTGTGGCCTCCACTTCAATGTCCGTGTCATCTCTCTCTTGGATTTCTGTGTTTGTCCAGTTGACAAATGTGTCCGCTGCTTTTTTTACAGATTCAAAATCTCTTCCCAAGCTTTTCAGCGTATCCTGTGTCGATGCCACCATTCTGTGAGCAGAGAGGATGTCCAATCCTGCCGTCTGAAGGTATTTAGACAATGGAGAGGTATGTTCAAATATGCGGAGGAAGATTTGAGCCGTCAAGATCGTCTCATACTTGAGCAATGACTCTGCATATCCTCTGGCCATGACACGGATACATGGTTTCACTGTTGCCTGTTTCTGTATAGCTGATAATGTCAGCAGCACATCAACGTACAGACCATCTTCCGCTTTTCCAAAGGAGCCAAACACCTTCTTCAGGGCCTCATGCTTGGCCCACCAGCGTGTTACTTCTTCAGGGCCTCATGCTTGGCCCACCAGCGTGTCTCTTCTTCAGGGCCTCATGCTTGGCCCACCAGCGTGTCTCTTCTTCAGGGCCTCATGCTTGGCCCACCAGCGTGTCTCGCCAATAGGAGCAAGGCGTCTACGTCTCTTGTTTCGGCCTGACTCTTCCCACACATTCATCCTTTTATATGACTCTTTGATGAATACCGCAATGCCATTGAGGAGCGCAAACAGGGACCCACTCTCAATAACAATCTGGGTTGTGTTTGCAAGCACCAGATTTAGTACATGTGCGTAGCACCATACATGCACCTGGTTTGGAGATTGTGCAGACAACAGTGAGGAGAATCCTTTGTATTGGCCTTGCATGTTTGATGCCCCATCAGTCGCATTTCCAATGCACATGGACTTGCTGAGGCCCATTTTGTCCAGAACTTCTGACAGCATGTTGACAAAGGCCTGTCCAGTGGATGAACTGCACTTCAGCACTGCACCAACAAGCCTCTCATGAACAACATCAGTAACATACCTCATAATTATAGAGCATTGATCCTGAGAGGTGATGTCCTGCGTTGTGTCCAGCTGCACTGAAAACATTCCTGCTTTCTTGATATCACTGGAGATGTTTTCTTGAATCAGATGGTGAATTGCATCTATCACTGAGTTGACTGTGGTTTTGGAGAGTAAAGTTACAAGGGAGCCTCTGCCTCTCGTGCCACCAGACAAATGCAACTTTTTGCTGTTCTCAATGCAGCTGTCCAGGTGCTCTTTTAAACAGAAATCATACTTCCCCAGTAGAAGTATGAGTTCCAAGAAATTACCATGATCAACTGTGTGGTCTTCCAGAGTATATGCTGCCTCATTTTCTGACCTCCTGTATGCAAGCCCCCTCTTCCCAAGAACCTTGATGACATCTATGATGCGCTCCAAAACCTGCCGTCTCTTTCTGACCTGCTCTGACATCTGACTGCCACCAAACACACTGCTGATATCAGCACTGGCGGATTTCAAGAGGTAAGCTTCAGCACAGTTTCTGTGTGCACTGCTTCTCTCATGCTCCTCTGTGCGCTGGTGTATTTGCCTCCAATTTGACATTCCACTGATGAACAGACTGCTATCAGTTCTCTTACCGAATGCCATGCAGATGAAACAATACAGCAAGTGACGCTCTGGACAGTACGTCAGCCACCTTCTACTGGTGCCGTCTCTGCTACAGAACACTTTCTACACCACTGGATTGCTACTTTTTTGCTGAGGATGGTAATTTAAAAATGACTGGAGATTTTTCTGATCAGGTTGTGAAAAAAAATCAGTTATTTGACTGGCACACTCATAGCTCTCAACAGCTGTTTCCCTCTCAGGTGATCCTGTCTTTGGGCTGACGCACTCCTCACTCTCTACAGCCTTTTCCCTCTCAGGTGATCCTGTCTTTGGGCTGACACACTCCTCACTCTCTACAGCCTTTTCCCTCTCAGGTGATCCTGTCTTTGGGCTGACACACTCCTCACTCTCTACAGCCTTTTCCCTCTCAGGTTATCCTGTCTTTGGGCTGACACACTCCTCACTCTCTACAGCTGTTTCCCTCTCAGGTGATCCAGTCTTTGGGCTGACACACTCCTCACTCTCTACAGCTGTTTCCCTCTCAGGTGATCCTGTCTTTGGGCTGACATACTCCTCACTCTCTACAGCCTTTTCCCTCTCAGGTGGTGCAGTCTTTGGGCTGACACACTCCTCACTCTCTACAGCTGTTTCCCTCTCAGGTGATCCAGTCTTTGGGCTGACACACTCCTCACTCTCTACAGCTGTTTCCCTCTCAAGTGATCCTGTCTTTGGGCTGACACACTCCTCACTCTCTACAGCCTTTTTCCTCTCAGGTGATCCTGTCTTTGGGCTGACACACTCCTCACTCTCTACAGCTGTTTCCCTCTCAGGTGATCCAGTCTTTGGGCTGACACACTCCTTGCTCTCTACAGCCTTTTCCCTCTCAGGTTATCCTGTCTTTGGGCTGACACACTCCTCACTCTCTACAGCCTTTTCCCTCTCAGGTGATCCTGTCTTTGGGCTGACACACTCCTCACTCTCTACAGCCTTTTCCCTCTCAGGTTATCCTGTCTTTGGGCTGACACACTCCTCACTCTCTACAGCTGTTTCCCTCTCAGGTGATCCAGTCTTTGGGCTGACACACTCCTCACTCTCTACAGCTGTTTCCCTCTCAGGTGATCCTGTCTTTGGGCTGACACACTCCTCACTCTCTACAGCCTTTTTCCTCTCAGGTGATCCTGTCTTTGGGCTGACACACTCCTCACTCTCTACAGCTGTTTCCCTCTCAGGTGATCCAGTCTTTGGGCTGACACACTCCTCACTCTCTACAGCCTTTTCCCTCTCAGGTTATCCTGTCTTTGGGCTGACACACTCCTCACTCTCTACAGCCTTTTCCCTCTCAGGTTATCCTGTCTTTGGGCTGACACACTCCTCACTCTCTACAGCCTTTTCCCTCTCAGGTTATCCTGTCTTTGGGCTGACACACTCCTCACTCTCTACAGCCTTTTCCCTCTCAGGTGATCCTGTCTTTGGGCTGACATACTCCTCACTCTCTACAGCCTTTTCCCTCTCAGGTGATCCTGTCTTTGGGCTGACATACTCCTCACTCTCTACAGCCTTTTCCCTCTCAGGTGATCCTGTCTTTGGGCTTACGCACTCCTCACTCTCTACAGCCTTTTCCCTCTCAGGTGATCCAGTCTTTGGGCTGACACACTCCTCACTCTCTACAGCCTTTTCCCTCTCAGGTGATCCAGTCTTTGGGCTGACATACTCCTCACTCTCTACAGCCTTTTCCCTCTCAGGTGATCCAGTCTTTGGGCTAACGTACTCCTCACTCTCTACAGCCTTTTCCCTCTCAGGTGATCCTGTCTTTGGGCTGACACACTCCTCACTCTCTACAGCCTTTTCCCTCTCAGATGATCCTGTCTTTGGGCTGGCACACTCCTCACTGTCTACAGCCTTTTCCCTCTCAGGTGATCCAGTCTTTGGGCTGACATACTCCTCACTCTCTACAGCCTTTTCCCTCTCAGGTGATCCTGTCTTTGGGCTGACATACTCCTCACTCTCTACAGCCTTTTCCCTCTCAGGTGATCCTGTCTTTGGGCTGACACACTCCTCACTCTCTACAGCCTTTTCCCTCTCAGGTGGT